CCAACTCGTTGATGAGTGGATTTTTTAAAATGACACATTCATACAATTAAAAGAAAATACTATTGAAGCGTGCAGTAAGAGTGTGTTGAGTGAAAGAAGGCAGGCCAGAAGGAAAAATAAATGATAGAGAAGAATAGTCCCATATGGTTATATGGCTCTGTTCATATAAAATTCTAGGAAGTGCAGACTTGAGTGAGACATGCAGAGCAGTATTCTCAGGCAATGGGAATAGGGAGATGGATGACTCACAAAGGAGGGTAAAAAACACTTATCCATAGTCAAAATGTTATTTTGATTACACTGATGGCATCACAGTTTTTTTTATATATTTCAAAGTTGATTAAATAATTAAATTTAAATAAAGACAGTGTATTATACCTACAGTAGTTATTTTAAACATGACAGGATTTTGCTTTCATTTCTTTTTAGAACCTGCAGCAAATACTGTTTTTCAGTGTCAAAGTAGTTCAAAGACTGTTACAAAAAAATTAACTTCAGCTGTTGATCAGTCTGGTGTACAAGAAAATGGTGCAGAACAAAAGGTAAAGCTTTATGTTTCCAAATTTTGTACAGTGATTTTGAATTTTCTCCCTCTCTGCCTCCCTCTCTCTCTCACTCTCCCCTTCCAAGAGCTGTCTCTTTTGATAGCATGGTACCTATTTGAAAGGTTTTACTCACAAAAACAGACTCTGTTTTCCAGCAAAGTACATTGTTAGCTATGTTTGAAATACACTATGCAATTTAGAAGAAATTAATCCAAGCAAATATTTAGCAACTATAACAATACCTGTAGCTAGAATTTATTAAACTACTGTTAACAAGCACTGAGCTAAGCCAGAAGGGTGGAAAATAAGGAAACTGGGTCACATGGAATGCAGTGTGAATGATAGAATCATTCTGCTCAAGGACTTATTGTCCAATGGAGCAACAGACACCCCAAAATGTTATTACAACAAATAAGTCTGGACCGATGAATTTTGGTTAGTTCAAGCAGTGTTCTCAAGAAACATGATATTGAGTTGTTAAGACATGAATGGGTGCAGTTGGATTTCTCTGAGACAAATTGAATGACTTTTTAGAGCCATCCATTCAATAGACTACCATTGAATAAAATGCAGAATATTAGCAAAGGGGTACATTTGTACATTACTACATATTGAGCTCAGTTTTAAAGTAAATTTAGGATCCTATATAAGGTATGCTGGGATGCTAATAATGTATATTTGCCCTGACAACATTTATCAGAGATTTGAGGCCTAAAGTGTGGAAAAAGTCTGGATTCAGTTGGTTGACTGATGAGAGGCAAAATCTTTTTCAGAAATATAGCTACTCATGCAAGTTTTTTCTCCTTCCTATTGTGCCATTTAGAGAGATGCAGTGATAACTAAAAGATCAAGTATTTGTGATGACAAAGGTAAAAACTGGATAATAATTCTGTTATTAAATACATTATCATGGTTTAATCATTGTTTTTAAAGTTCTTTTACCTGATTATAAAAAGTATGCTTATTTTGAAAGATAAAGTGATAGAAAATCATTTATTGAATATAGATATTGTAACTAGACCATACATGTAAGTTACTGCTGGATGAATGTAGGTTTTGTGATTTGCAAAGTGTGGAACAGTTACAGTCCCTGTCATGGCTGTTGGTAGTAGTAGGTAGGGTATTTTTACATGCTGTGGTTTGAGAGGCTGGAATACAGACAGTTGTTCCAGGAGTATCCCTCAGGCCCCACTACCACTGCTTCCCCATAAACAACATGTCGGGTTCCCATTGTTCCTTAAAATATGCTTTCTCTAAGATTTTGTGAGTTATTACAATGCTGTCAGTAACTAAAAAACACTTTTGTGCCTATCCAGCATGCACAGATGGAAGCAGTAGACATAGCTGTAGGGGTCTACCTCAGATTCAATGGACGCTAAATTCGTCATCTTCCTGGCTCTCCTGTTTTCACCTAGGCACAAAATAGATAATTTTTCCTTTGTTTTGTGGTACTGGAGATTGAACCCAGGACCTTCAGAAAGAGCTGCATCTTCAGTAGTGTTTTACTTTGTCTTGTAAGAACAGCGTCTTGCTAAATCGCTAAACTGCTAGGGAGGAGCTCAAACTTGTGATCCTCCTGCCCTAACCTCCCAGAGTGCTGAGATTACCAATGGGCACCACAGTGCTGCCTTAAAATCTACGTTATTTTTGCTTTTCCCTTTTTCTTTTATTTTTACATCTAAAAGTTGCCACTTCTGTTTACTTCCATAAATTATCTTATCTTTTCCATTTATGTTGCGGTCGCTTCTCTATTGCAGAAGCCTTTCTCCAATCACCTCTTTCTCTTTCTAATCTACCATGCATTTTACTGTGAAAGCAATCTTCCTAAAATACTGCTTTATTTATCCCCAGACACAAGTTGTGAATTGTCCCTCATTGGCTACTCAATGAAACACAAAGTTAATTTTGACAGTGGACTATGGTTAGTTTCTTAAGATTAAGCTATTGGAATACATACATTAGGGTCAGAAGTTAAGTTTCCAACTTGGCTTTGAAGACAGTGGGGAACCATTGACACTCTTTTGTAGGAAATGAGCATCAAAAAAGTCATGCTGTTCTTAGAATAAAAAAGTTCCTGGGGCCGGGGATTTAGTTCAGTGGTGCCATCGCCTGCCTCGCAAGCTCAAGGTCCTGAGTTCTATCCCCAGTACAGCAAAAATAAATAGATAAGGTAGATAGATAGATAGATAGATAGATAGATAGATAAGTTTCTGACTGTAGGAATTCTAGTCACTGTGGCACCCAGCAGGGAGAATGTTAGAGCATCGAAAAATTAACTTTCACCCTTCTTCCAACCTATTTAAAGCTGACTCTTTTTTCTCTAGGAGCTATAAATGTGTCCACTCAAGGTTCAATTATTTCACCTGAACATTCACCTACCAAAAAACATCCCAGAACTTCACATTCACTTGTGGATCAAAAAGAAGAGGTATATAATATCTGTTTTCCTCCAAACACAAACAATCAATGAGAGATGATCTTATACACATTCATGGTTTTACAAATGTTTTTCTTTAACTAACCATACTGAATACCTTTGTTGTTTGGAAATTAGTCATACCATAATAAAAA